TGATGCTGGTAGCTGTCACCTCTCAAAAGGAAGTCAGGTTAACAGGAAATGCCACAAAAAAGCAGATGCCTAAAATGAGCCTATATCCGGGAACAGCAGCAGCACTCAAGAGACAAACCAGATTTTTAAACTTTATTTTACTTATTGGCATCTCAAGGACTTTATTGCTGCAGTTGGGAGTTCATTTCATTTATATTTCCAGTGCAATTTGATGAACAGATAAGATGTGTCCTTAATTCTTCTTTAGAAGAAGTCTTCACATTCTAAAGTGTAGATGTATATTGGGTAGCATTCAAAAATGCTGATGAGTCAATTAATCTGACCATAAAGGCAGAAAAATAGCTAGGAAGAAGCCAGAGATGACTTTGACTATGACAATTATTTTAGGAGGCTGCCAGCGCTATCAGCCCTCACTTGAAGTCTGTTGATTTTCTGCAATTGGTAAGCAGGAACCACTCACCCCTGGAACTCATTTCAGAGTAGAAAAATTTATTGAGTAATCAAGGCAAATTATAATTTGATCAGCTCTATGCAGCATTTTACTGGACCAATCCCTTACCACGTCTGCTCCTGGTGGTCTAGATTATAATTTAGAGAATGTACTGTAGTCACATCTTACTTTTTAATTGTCTCTCATTCCAGAGCAGAACAAAGCTACTGCAATCCTTTGTCAGCAACAGATTATTTCTCCTTCTACATCAGCTCATTTCCAGCATACTGAAAGCTTTGCCTGATCTCCATCCCTGTACATTCATTCCCTTTTATTCCACCCAAAAGAGAAGTAGCAACCTTCTATTATAGCACTGTCCCACTCTCCCTTAGTAGCTCCTAACCCCTATTTTCTCCCTTTTCAGACCCTACCCTATTCCACCCACTTCAAGTGCAGACAGAAGTGCAGCTCCCCATTGTAACTGAAAATGCTTTGCAGGAAGCGCTCTAAGTTACAACGATCCCCTGGACCAAACAGAAGTTCACTATTGATTCCAGGGGGGAAGACACTGTTGTCTGTGCACCTGCATCTAGTTTCTCCTACCAAAAGCCCCTCCTCCCTGCCAGTTCCCTGCCAGTCCAAGCTGTTTTCAGAATGAGAGGCAGGGAAAGGCAGCAAACAGAGTTTATTCTATGGGTTCTCCAGCTGGTACTGGAGGGTGGGATGGGTGAATTGCCCCACCCTCCAGCAGGGGCTGAAAAAACCCCAGACCAAACTCCCTCCACTCCCTTTCCCCCCTCGTATTCTGAAAACAGTGACATACTGGCAGGCAGCACAGACACAAGTTACAGAAGACACTCTGTTTACAAACATCTTCATCTGAACCCACCACTCTTCATCTGAATTCACCACTCATCTGGTATAATGTAGGCCACTCTGACAGAATTAATTCACAGATCACGAAGTCATTTGAAAGGACTTTTTATTAGAGAAAAGGGACGTGTCCAGACGAGCATGGAGGTGCTGTATGCAGGGCTCCAGATCTGTTTTTAATGCTGCACACTGCACATGCCACAAGTGCAGGCATTCTCCACACTGCTAATTTGCAGCACAGGGGAGTTTTTTGACATCGGGAGATCCCAGAGTCAAAAACCCCCACACCTTAAAAAAGCAGGGCAGTGTACATGGCTGCAGTGTGCACTGCCAGAAACGAGAGCCTGGCCAGGTGAAGCCATGGACTGGCTGCCAGCCAGGCTCTATACTGCAGATTGCTGCAGCTGCAGCCCCCAGAGGCCCTCGGAACCCAGGTAAGGCTGTTGGGGCCAGTGCAGGTACTGGCTTCAGCCTCCCCTACCCCACCCAGGGCAACAGGCAGCAGCCCAGAGCATGAGCACACAGGCCGTTCCCGGGAACAAGCAGCAGTGGCACATGTTGTATCACTGCTGTTTGTCCCTGGGGAAATGCATGTTCCTGCTCCTTGGGAAGCGCCCAAGGATATGAAAAATGAAACATGAGTGGGTTCAAGTATGAAGTAATCAAGGCTATATATAGCCTTATATACTGTTTATACAAATTGTATAGCTCTCAATGCCCAAGTTGTACATTCATATACCATGGAGTAAATAGGAACTATGCTCATGACAAATAGGATCACTTCAGACTGAAATCTCTTGCAAAAAATGGGACATTTCTACATCAGAACTAGAGTAACTATCTTTCAGACTGTTCAAGGTTCAAGATCAAAACCAGAATGTTAGTAAATTGCAATATTGCATAATGTAGCATATGCTTCAGTGATATTCCCCATCATATTAGTGGTTTGCCTTAATACACCACAATTGCAGAAGAAACCATCAAAAAAATCACATTCAAAGAGAGAACAATCTTAAGTACTAATAATTTGTTCCTTTCTGCAGATCTCACCTCATCTCTATTCTTGTAGATAAAAACCCTAAATGTATGAGTGATACAGACCATATTTCCAATAATTCTTTTCTTTCTTTCCTTACTCAACAAGAATGTCAAAGGAAGGGTATGCACGAGTAAATATTTTTTGTTAGGTGCAATTTGTGTCTTAGTATGATATCCTAGTGCATGTAAATTCTCTACATATGTAGGAAAAAACAAGTATTAAAAGATTTAAAATTATAGTGAATGAGGTACAATGTATGTGATCCAGATCCCAATGATTTTAATTAGGAGCCCTTCCTTTGACTTCAATGGGCTTTGGACCAGAACTTCTTGTTCTGTCCTGGAAGTGTGAAACATATTCTCTTTTAGTTGAAATTATATGGCACATGAAGTTCCAAGTGCACCTGTGACGCACAATATCTGTGAATCTCTAATAGAAGGTTCCAAGCAATCCAAGAGAATGTAATGCCACAGACAGTACAGCAAACTATGCTCCAGGACTGTCCAGATAGTAAGAAACAACTGCAATAGAAAGCTATCCCACCTGCCAACTGAGGAAGTGGCTGTTTCTGCAAGTCTAGAATTTGTTCAAAGGGAATGAGCAGTCATACTCAAAGAATTAAAAGTTGACAGCATGACAGGTATAAACCTTTCACGGTAGGAAATGGAGGTATGGCTGGGACCAGTTAGAGAATGTATACGCTGCCCAGGCATAAATGCCCAATATAGAGTATATATAAAATCAGAACAGCATATGCGGAGATAATAAATGACAGGAGACTCTTCAGCCTCATAAAATTCTAACCTGACCCTGAGAAAGAGTTGGAGGAGACCTGTTCACTTTTAATTACAACATTACTGTCATAATCTATGACAGTAGAATATTTGAAAGCCCGTGGCGCACAGGCCAAGTCCCGGAGGACTGGAAAAGGGCCAACGTGGTCCCCATTTTCAAAAAGGGGAGGAAGGAGGACCTGGGCAACTATAGGCCAGTCAGTCTCACCTCCATCCTTGGCAAAGTCTTTGAAAAAATTATCAAGGCTCACATTTGTGAGAGCCTGGCAGGAAAAATTATGCTGAGAGGAAACCAGCACGGGTTCGTGGCAGGCAGATCGTGCCTGACCAATCTAGTTTCTTTTTATGACCAGGTTACGAAACGCCTGGACACAGGAGGAGGGGTGGATGTTGTATACTTAGACTTCAGGAAGGCCTTTGATACGGTATCCCACCCCATACTGGTGAACAAGTTAAGAGGCTGTGACTTGGATGACTACACAGTCCGGTGGGTGGCGAATTGGCTGGAGGGTCGCACCCAGAGAGTCATGGTGGATGGGTCGGTTTCGACCTGGAAGGGTGTGGGAAGTGGGGTCCCACAGGGTTCGGTCCTTGGACCGATACTCTTTAATGTCTTCATCAGTGACTTGGACGAGGGAGTGAAATGTACTCTGTCCAAGTTTGCAGATGACAAAGCTATGGGGAGA